GAAGAGTTATTCACATCAAAAAGATTATAACATAGAAGAGTTATTACATCAAAAGATTAGATTATAGAAGACTTATTTTACATTACAAAAAAAAAAGATTATACTAGAGATTATATCAATCTTACTAGCCTATAGTCCACGTAGACTAACTATAGACTAGTTAAGATTGAAGCAAGATGCACTACCTTAAGAGCTTCTTCATGCTAATGTCTAATAGACTCAATTGATGTGTGATTGCTTCAACAGCAAGAAGAAGGATCTTGCGGTTGCTCTGTGTTTCTTCCAATGTCATGCAGTTTCTCTTCTTTTTGTTTCTCCACCGATCATTTCTTACCCTTTTACAAGTACGAGGTTGCTTTGTGAAACTCCACCAGTTGCAGCTAGATGCATCCGAAACATCCTCCTCCTACTCCTTTGTATCGTTCTCGGACTCTTCAAGAAGAGAAAGAGAACCTTCCGATTCCGAAACAATCATCTCTCTTCGTCACATCTCAAATCAGCTTCAAAGATAGTGTTTTCTTCTTCTTCTACCTCCTCCTCCTCCGGTCTATCAGCATCACTGTCGATTTGGTCACTAGCTCGTTCCTTTTCTTCTCTTCTCTCGCCTTGACTTGAGCCCGAGTTCTTCTTTGCTTCCTTGGGTTTTCTATTACGTTGGCTACGTTTTCTCATGGAATGTCTTGATTCTTTATTCCCAACATGTGAGGAATCAGGCTGCTTTTGTGAGTCATCTCTTGATTCTCATCTCTGCTTCGTGTTTCGCACTTCGTCGTCTTGTTTTTTATTCCACTGCGACGGTCTTGTCCCTCCACTCCATCTACTTGCTCAGATTTCGATTGAGTTTCACCATTGTTGTGTAACCCTTTTTCTTCTCTGTGTGCATCATCCACATTGATCAAGCTTGAAGATTTGTGGATGCACAACTTCTTGAAAAGATTGAAACTTCTTGCAACCTCTACAACTGATGCAGATTCCAGGTGCTGCTCCTTGTTGTGATTCACTCTTTTCTTCCGGACATACTTCTTCTCAAACAATCTGTCTTCTATACAACCACCAGAAGGATCACTGTTGGGTTTAGCTACTTCAACATCATTCCTTGGTCCTGCTAAACCTCTTTGTTGCATCAAATCTCGGTTTCTCTGTTGCTCTTCAGGTAACCCAAAGCAACTTCCTTCACGATCCACGACCCCATCTTCTCTCTGCTTACCGGCAATTTCTCAAAATGTCTTTTACTTTTTTTTTTGATCAAACGGTTTCAGTTTCCATTAATATTATCCCGACCATACATTCATCAAGCTAAGTGCTTGCTTTGCTAGCTTATCCGCTTTTACATTTAGGTTCCGATTAATACAAACAAAAGAGACACACTCAAATGTTTGGGCAAAAGCCTTAATGTCTTCAAGAATGCCATATAGTCCTAGGAATGACTCTCCTAAGTTTATGGCGTTGATTAGTTGAGATGAGTCGGACTCGAATCTCATGTGTTTGTATCCCCTTTCCGACGCGAATGATACTGCCTCCCTTAAAGCTAAAGCTTCAGCAGCCATAAGCGGTGAACCGACATAAGACATGGTTTTGCTTTGTTTTGATTCTCTGTTTTCATTCATCATGATGATCCAACCTAAGCCTGCATTCTTGGTTTCGATGCTCCAAGACACATCCGATTAGCTGATCCATGTTCCTGCAATACTCGGCTGCTTCTTTATCAGTTTTGGTTGTTGCGCGTCGAGCCATTCTTTGGCTAGGGAAACTGCAGTTGTAATAGTTTATGTTGGTGTAGCAGCCTTGTCGTTGAAGATTAGTTTGTTTCGGTTTACCCAGAGTGTCGACAAGATCCATGGAGCCAATTGTTACTCCAGTTGGTGGGACACATCTTTTGGATTTGAGGATCTCTCAGCTCCCTGAGTCATAGGTCATCTCGTAGGGAGCATTTCTCCGAACCTGTTGAGAGAATTTGCAATGAAAGAAGAGATGGAGTATTGTTTCAGGTTCTCCACATCTCTTGCAACTGGGGTCTATATTATAAACTCTTTCCATTGGAAGAGCTCTTAAAAGCCGAAAAGTATCCTTTAACTCATAGAAAAATGCTCAGGAAAATAATATTATAGGTGTGAGGCAGACTCGAACTCTCGTTCTCAAGACCAATTGTACTCTCCGACATCAGACACACAACCAACTGTGTCCACCACCGCTAGTGAATCCAAGACGACAAAACATTTATATATAAACGCATAGCCAAGTAAACGTTTCCTTGGCGGTGTTCGTTCATTCTTCGATCTTCAATTTCCGTGGATTCGGTGTACTTCTTTATCAATTTCCCAGAACGAGAGAGAGGAGGAATCAACGATCCTCGTTTCGTTTGGGAGCAATTTCGATTCCATGTTGTCGACGCAGTCCTTTACTATAAGCAGACAATTCTG